ACTTGCACTTTTGCAGGCAGAGTGGGTGTTGTCTAGTCTAGCACAGTCCTCAGACGCAGATCCTTCAAGTGATGATCATTTCTGGGACATTCTTGAGTGCACTAGAAACCATCAGCATTAAAAGGCATAAAGGAAAGAAATAGAGCAAGAACAAACAGACAAACTGTATTTGTAAAGGGTCACAAGTAGGGCAGGCAGGCCTGTCTTACATTTGGTCCTTCCAGCCACTCGTCTTTCACACAATAATTGTAGTTTATGTACACATCGTGTTCAGCTAATTAGATAAGATGGGTTGGTAGACTGCAAACGGAAACCTATATGAGAAAAGACAAACTGGAAACGTTTGTAACAAATAGGAAGAATAATGGAAGGAATGTTTTTCAACCGGTGCGCTGTGAAAAAGTCGACATGGGTCACCTATTTCCCCATCCCTCCCATTACCTCCACTAATCATTTCCTGGGGAAGGTCGTTTTTTTCTTTTTCGGGATCGCAGTATGCAGGATTACACATCAAGGATTAAAAATAAAACAGTCACAAATCGCTGAACCACCGCTCACCCACATCGACTTTCTCATATTTTTTGCAGTCGGTTGGGTCGCGGTGTGCAAATGTTGAGGAACACTGGTACAGACAGTTGTGTCTGTTTGCTATGTTATTCTCTCGAACATCTGTTTACGCCATCATTGTTGACACATTATTGTTAATACTTTGTCTTCTGCATTATTTATAACCTTTCTTTAGAGATTATATTTAGTTGCCTTTCATGTCCGTGATAAAAGTAACAGACCGGTGATAAATAAAGGGACCGTAAACGAATGTAATCATGATTAATTACAAAACCTTTCTAAATACATTAACAATACATGACAGCCAAATAGGTATTGCTAGGGCAAATCAAAGACACAGGCTAGAAAGGCTGGTAATAAACATGGGATATTTAAATGCGTTATCTCATCTTGTGAAACACCATATGGAACATGTGTTTACAGATCCGAGCTATACGAACAAATGAAATCGGGCAGAAGTCGCATTCATATCAAGACAAGACAACAGCGTGCAGATGTTGTATTTGATTAGGGCGAATGTTCAAACATTTCAGTGGATTTGTTTTGAAAATGTGACGCTTCAAGAGCCACTATTTTGTTTTGTTATGGGGTAAAATCTAGAAATAGTCTAGAAGTAAATGGAAAGAATAGATCACATCAGAGTTGATATGTCATGACAGAATGGCATCAGAGTCACCCTTGGAATATGATGTCTGATGCTGTTGGTTGGCTGATGTAGCAGTGGTGAACAAGGGCACTTTGTCAATGTCTTGAGGCGCCCTTGCAATTTAATGCGAGTCATTGATGTTTATAGGCCTGTTGGTCTTGACTTGGTCAGTATCACGCTGGTTAACGTTTACTCCATATTAAATTTCATAATACCTGTGTACTATCCTTTATTTGTTTCTCCTCATCCTCCTCTTTCTTTTTCTCCTCCTTCTTCTTCTCCTCCTCATCATTCTCCTTCTTATTCTCCTCCTTATCCTCCTCCTTCTTATTCTCCTCCTCCCCCTCCTCCTTATGCTTTTAATCTTTTATTGCAGCACGCCAAACAAATGTTAGACTCGTTTAGTCTGGCTTAGTTTTGATCCAAAGCTTACGTGTGATAGATTCTTTACTTTTTTTTTTTAATTTACATCGACTGGTGGGTGTCCATTTCAAATGAATAACGTGTTATTGTTGTTCTAAACTTCTTTTTTTTTTCCTCTCCAGTTTTTCATCTGGCTACTATTATCTTGCATTACCATAAATTTTCCTGTCCGCTGACTTTAATTAGAAAACTGTGATAAGCTTTTCAACGATCGTTCTTGTTCGGTCAGTGACGTTCTGGCGTATTGTCCAACTGGTATATTTCTTGGCCTCGTTTTGAGTAACTAGTCACAAGTCACAATCTCCTGCTCAATAATTTAATTATTTGCGGTTATATCATGATTTGCCACCATCACTTTTGCACATAGTTTTTTCCATCAATCTAAGGTTCAAAGCCACATCATTGTTAATTGTTATTATTATCCCAGTGCTTCTAAATCAGGAGTATCCTAGTCTTTTCGGGCGGTACCACCTTGTGTATGTGGCCAGATCCCCACTCCCCGGTTTAACCAAATCTGAGGAAAGCTTTTTGTTCCTAAACGTTAATCAGTTGCACGTGTTATCAGATCAATTCGATTTTTAACCTTATATGTACAAACTGGTCATGAAAACAAACAAGTCCCTGGTTTTTTGTTTTATAAAATTACAAAATATTTTATTTATAATTAATCTTACAAATATGTTATTATTGAGAACTATTACAAATACTAATTAACTCATTCACAAAACTAGAAGCCCCCCCCCCCACCCCACCCCACCCCCGTCCCAGGGTGTGTCCACCAGGCCGAAAACTATTGTTCTAGGTAAACCAAGTCTAGGTCCGGAGGATGTGTTGTGGGAAATAAATGTGGCCGGTGTAATGTTGAACCCCTCGTCCATCGAAAATAAATTAATGTTAACAAAATGACCCCGAAACCGTTTGCTCTGTGCAACATGGGCGTTGAAGGGATCCTTTATATACATTTATATATATATACACACAGACACACACACAGGCATATATATATATATATATATATATATATATATATATATATATATATATATATATATATATAGAGAGAGAGAGAGAGAGAGAGAGAGAGAGAGAGAGATTGTAAGCACATCCCCACATTGTAAAAGATGACACTACGCTAGTATGCTAGTAACTGGCACGTTGTCATAAGGATAAACATATCAAACAACGCACAAATTAACTCAAAAAGTGTTGCTGCCTTCATGTGAGCGAACTGTAGATTACAGTACGGGTGTGTCCAATCAATACACATTGGTTATTATAAATAACATAACAGTACTGAAACAGTACTCTCTGTGAGACTAGAACCCCCACTCTCCTCCTCATCTCCCCTCCCTCTTTTCTGTGTTCAGCCTGAAAAAGAATGCCAGTGTCTTTCCTATTTTTGGTTGATACTTGAATAATTTATCAAATAAATAATTGGAGAGGCATCATGGCAAATGTTTACTTTAGGCCAAACACCTGAAAAAGAATATTATAATTTAAAAAGTATGGAAGTTTGGAATGTTAGCTGAAAGGAAAGAAATATTTCAGCTAGTGAGCTGGAATTCTAGAGACTAGAGCTCGATATCTCGAGAAGCAGGAAGATCAGAAATGGTCAAATCCGATAGATAAGGGTCGAAGGAGCAGAATCAGATTTAATAAAAAAAATACAAGTGTAATGGTTCGGCCGTTGAGTTTAATTCGGCAACCTACAGACAGCATGTCATACAACAAGGAGCAATGGCACACAGAGCAGGTGAAAATGAAAAAAAAAATATGGACAGAAAAAACAGTCTCGGAATCCTCATTTATGAAACACACAGATGACAGACTGACCGCTTTATTACTCTCGGCTGCTATCGTGAAGTTTGAAACCGTGAGAGGAATAAACCTCAGTCTGGAAGTTAGATCAATAAAACAGATCCTAGATAGCCCGTTCAATTTCCACATAAATTATAATTTGGCCATCCGTAACGGCCACACCAAGATATTGTCACCTGCAGTTCTTTATGCGCTTCTTCATCTTCTTCTATCGTCGTCTCACTGACGCCAGGTTGTAGCCCAGTGTCGTGGTTTTGTCGTCTTCACTGATACCAGGTTGTAGCCTAGTGTCGTTGTTTTGTCGTCTCACTGATACTAGGCTGTAGCCTAGTGTCGTGGTTTTGTCGTCTCATTGATACCAGGTTGTAGCCCAGTGTCGTGGTTTTGTCGTCTCACTGATACCAGATTGTAGTCCAGTGTCGTGGTTTTGTCGTCTCACTGATACCAGATTGTAGCCCAGTGTCGTGGTTTTGTCGTCTCACTGAGGCCAGGTTGTAGCCCATTTTCGCGCTTTTCTGAATTTGTCTTGTGCTTCTCGGATGGCTTGGGTGCTAGTTTTGTTCTCTTTATATATATATATATATATATATATATATATATATATATATATATATATATATATATATTCAGGTTTCAGCTACACCATCTATCCATGCCTTTCTTGACCTTCCCCTTGCCTTTCTCCACAGATGTTCTGCTGTAAAACGGCTCATATGCTGTGTGGCCTGGCTACATTCTCGCTAGATTGTCAAACCATTTCGTTCTTTGATTGTCAGTATAATCCAGACATGGTCTTATCGAACTTTCTCTCTAATGCTGGTATTCGTAACTTTGTCTCTTCTTGTGCTGTTAGTGACCTTGCTGAGACAGCGCATTTCACAGGTAGTTATTTTAGTTATAGTGCCTGATTCATTGTCATTGTTTAGCACTGATAACATAAAGTTGGTCTGAAGATGATATTAATCATTTGCTGTTTTGCTGGAAGGAAGACATTTGAGTGTCTAAGCAGTGGGGCTAACTGGTTGGTGACAGAAGCCATGGTACAGAAGGTAAATGCTATCTCTTAATCGAGTCTACCATCCTCCGTAAATATGCTTCCTAGATATTTGCAATCTCGAACTTGTTTGATTGTAGTACGGTTAACATGAACATCATTACCTCAGTTCGCCTAATGACGATTCGTAAACGCATGTGAGCACTCACGGGGTGGGTATTCACACCTCACCAGGACACGGTCAGCTACAGACAGAACAAGGTCATGAGAGGTGAGCAGTTGCGTCAGTAGCGTCCAGCAAGTGCAGAACAGAAACAAATGTTTCACCTTCAAAGAACAAACTTGGCTATCAACAAGGACAAATTTAAAAGCTGCTTTCTTAAAATTAGATTCAAACTGGTGTTTTGATGTGAACGAAGAAGACGACGACAGTTTGAAATTATTGGGATTTTCTTGCTAAATAATATGTTTGTTTTTTAAATCTATAAAATAAGCAATGATTGTGATTTTGTATTTCTCTTGCAGATCTTCGCTTCCACAAGCCAGTTTGCCATGAACCTCCTGTTGGTATTGTTCTGTCTCACTCTAGTATTTGTAGACATCATCAGCGGTAAGTAGCCACACATTTGACATGATGAACAATATTTTCTGCTTATGTAATATTTCTCTAGTCATCATTTGCGGCTTATGTGTTGCGAACGCGCTTCATAATGCCGTGTGTCGGGTTCGATCCCAGCTGCGGGCGATTTGGAGCAGAACGTCTTGCGTTGGTTTCGACAGTGATATCGAGAGCTCACCGTTTAGAAAGCAATGGCAAATTACTTAATGAATATTTGCCCACAAAAACAACTACTTCAACAATATACTGGGGTTGGTTCGAGACGTCCTGTAAAGGATAGGCAATTACCTGAATATATCTCTGGCAATTGGAGAAGACATAAGGGTTTTAAAAGCTATAATATAAAGCCAGTCCTAATGAACAGAAGTGAATTAGTTAGTCTTTCCTCTTGTGTCGAGTGCGGCACATAGGGCAGAGGTCATGACTCTCCATGCATGGCGGTTCGTTGCAATCTGTTGTAGGTCTTGAATGTTTGAGTGGCCCATGAGTGAGCTTTCCCTGATGATAGTTCTACGTAGGGTTTCCCTTGGTCTTCCACGAGATCTTTTCCCCTGTGGTGTCCAAATGAGGGCTTGGTAAGGAAGTCTTGATTTATCCATTCTAAGGGCGTGGCCGACATAGTTCCAGCGGCGTTTTCGTATAAAATTAGACACATTCTCTTGCCTGGATTCTTGCCTTATTTGTGTATTGGTTCGGAAATCTGACCATTTGAAATTTAGTATTCTTCTAAGGCATTTATTTTCAAAACTGTCTAATTTTGTGTCTAGCGTTTTCGTTGATTTTCAGCTCTCGCATCCATAGGTTAGTACTGGAATCACACAAGAATTGAAGATCTTGAGTTTTGTGTGTTTGCTAAGTGTCTTTGATTTCCAGATGTTGGACAGTTTATTGAAGGCACTAGATGCCAGTGCTATTCTAAATGGTATTTCTGGTGCGGTATCTCCTGTAGATGACATCTTGCTCCCTAGATAAGTGAAACTGTTGACTTTTTCAAGGCTGTTGTTGTTCAGCGTGATATCAACTGAACTGTTGGTAAGGTCTAGAATTTTTGTTTTTGCGGTGTTAATTTGGAGTCCAATTTGTTCTGAGAAATTCTGGAGTCGGTTGATTTTTTTCTTGGGCGTCTGTGTGTTCTGAACTCAGGAGTGCTATGTCGTCGGCGAAGTCTAGGTCTTCCAGAATTTTGTCAACCCATGTAATGCCTAAATTTGCGTTATTTATGCACTTGCGCATGACCCAGTCGATTGCTATACCAAAAAGTATCGGCGATAGGACACAGCCTTGCTTCACTCCTGTTTCCACCGGGAACCAGTCAGAATTTCCGGAATCAGTTCTTACACAGCATCGTGTTTCATTATAAAAAGATTTTATGATGTTGATATATTTGATGGGGAAACCATAGATGTTAAGCAATTTCCAGAGTGTTGGACGATGGATACTGTCGAAGGCTTTTTGGAAGTCGACAAAGTTGATCAATAATTTCGACTGGAATTCTGTAGAATCTTCAACAATTATTCTAAGAGTAAAGATGTGGTCTATGCATGACCGCTTGGATCTAAAACCGGCTTGTTCTTCCCTTAATCTTTCATCTATGGAAGTGAATCATGGACAATAAACTAATTTTGTGACAAATTGAGTGAAATTGCAGAGGTCTAGTTTCTATGGAATGATATCATGAAAAGATATGCAACCAGACACAAAAATAGAAATAGTCAGCTTAACATTATCACAATTACAGATGACAGTAACGCTGCGGACAGAAAGCCTTCATTAGCCCATGACATGAATAGACAGTGCTACAATTACAAACAAGAAAACACATCACATGATTAAGGTATCTCCAAATGGGAAAAACATATATCTGGCTGCTCAGTTATAAAACATAGATAAACACAGAAAATGAAAATAGTCAGAAAGAGCTGTGGAAGGCAAGGGCCATACGTCGAAAATATTTAGTAAAAGTTGTGTTGGGCATTAAGTCCCGTAGGCGAGTTGGAGCCCATTAGATAGATAAAGCGATTCTGAAGAAGATCTAATGCAAGAAATGAACTCACGAGTGTATCTCGTTATCTGCTCTAGACGAGGACAAGCTGTATTTCTAGACATCGGATGAGAAATAGACAACGGAAGTACACGTGGTGACAACGGATGTACACTGAAGTACGTCGTGACAACGGAAGTAGGTCGTGACAACGGAAGTACGTCGTTACAACGGAAGTAGGCCGTGACAACGGAATTACGCCGTGACAACGGAAGTACATCGTGGCAACGGAAGTACACGTCGTGATAACGGAAGTGCACGTCGTGACAACGGAAGTACACGTCGTGGCAACGAAATTAGGTCGTGACAACGGAAGTACGTCGTTACAACGGAAGTAGGCCGTGACATCGGATGAGAAATAGACAACGGATGTACGTCGTGACAACGGAAGTACACGTCGTGACAACGGAAGTACACGTCGTGACAACGGAAGTACACGTCGTGACAACGGAAGTACACGTCGTGACAACGGAAGTACACGTCGTGACAACGGAAGTACATGTCGTGACAACGCAAGTAGGTCGTGACAGCGGAAGTACGTCGTTACAACGGAAATAGGCCGTGACAACGGAATTACGTCGTGACAACGGAAGTACATCGTGGCAACGGAAGTACGCGTCGTGTCAACGGAAGTACACGTCGTGACAATGAAGTGCGCGACGTGACAACGAAAGTACACGTCGTGACAACGGAAGTACACGCAATGACAACGAAAGTGCATGTCGTGACCACGGAAGTACACGTCGTGACCACGGAAGTACACGTCGTGACCACGGAAGTACACGTTGTGACAACGGACGTACACGGCGTGGCAACGGAAGTAGGTCATGCCAACGTAAGTGCACGTCGTGACAACGGAAGCACACGTCGTGACAACGGGAGTACACGTCGTGACACCGGGAGTACACGTCGTTACAACGGAAGTACGTCGTTACAACGGAAGTAGGTCGTGACAAAGGAAGTACGTCGTTACAACGGAAGTAGGTCGTGTCAACGGAAGTAGGTCGTGACAACGGAAGTACGTCGTGACAACGGAAGTACGTCGTGACAACGGAGGTACGTCGTGACAACGGAGGTATGTCTTTACAACGGAAGTACGTCGCGACAACGGAAGTATGTCTTTACAATGAAAGCACGTCGTGAAAACGGAAGCACGTCGTGACAACGTAAGTACGTCGTGACAACGAAAGTACATCGTGAAAACGGAAGCACGTCGTGACAACGGAAGCAGGTCGTGACAACGAAAGTATGTCGTGACAACGAAAGTATGTCGTGACAACGGCAGTATGTCGTGACAACGAAAGTACGTCGTGACAACGGAAACACGTCGTGACAACGGAAGCACTTCGTGACAACGGAAGTACGTCTTTACAACGGAAGTATGTCTTTACAACGGAAGTATTTCTTTACAACGAAAGTATGTCGTGACAACGAAAGTACGTCGTGACAACGGAAGCATGTCGTGACAACGGAAGTATGTCTTTACAACGAAAGTACGTCGTGACAACGAAAGTACGTCGTGACAACGGAGGCACGTCGTGACAACGGAGGCACGTCGTGACAACGGAGGCACGTCGTGACAACGGAGGCACGTCGTGACAACGGAAGTACGTCTTGACAACGGAAGTATGTCTTTACAACGGAAGTACGTCGTGAAAACGGAAGTATGTCTTTACAACGGACGTTGTTTGTTCTAATTATATGACAAGAGCGGACCACTAACCAAACTGAAATGTTTATTTTCAATTGTCAGAGAAAGATATGGCTTTTACACTTCCTGTGTAAAGGTAAAGTCGAGAGATGTTAACCAGCGTCATTGCACACGGTTATAAACCATAAGTGCTCTGTCACCAGTACATGCAGCTGAAAAGAAATTGTCCGCCTCTGTCGCCGTAAGACGAAACTCTGTAGCTACAGTGACGTTCCTCCATTTACCCCAGCGTCATTGCACACGGTTATAAACCATAAGTGCTCTGTCACCAGTACATGCAGCTGAAAAGAAATTGTCCGCCTCTGTCGCCGTAAGACGAAACTCTGTAGCTTCAGTGACGTTCCTCCATTTACCCCAGAGTGTTGACTCTGGTACCCATTACCTAGAGGCTGGGTGAACCCCGGAAACCGTCCGGTTACGAAAACCGGCCGTGGGCTGCAGCGAGTCGCATCTGGATTTGAAAGCAAGTCTCATACTGCTCTAACTTGGCTCCCTAAACTTCCTATGCGTTTTCTTTTCCTGTATTTAAATTCCTTTTTATTTCAAAAAATGATTACGCGGTTTATTATTATACTGACCTTTAACAGCTCTTGAATTGGTAATTTTTTTTAATTTCTGTGCGCGTGTGTGTGTTTTTTATTTTTATTTTTTATTTTGTAGGTAATTATTTATTAGTGTCTTATGTCTACGTTAGCATTTATTTTCACATTATTAAGTTGACGAGCAGGCAATGAATTATATGTAAAAATTGCAAATCTTTTTTTTTATGACTCTTTTATTGTTGTCTGTGTAAGAGTTCACTTTTATCTACATATTGTTTCATGCTGATATTGACAAGAACTATCTAAACACTCCTGTCTTTTTATGTTTAAATGTAGATTAATTTTAGCTCATGTTAGTTTTAAAGGGGGAGGGGGGGGGGGGGCAGTAATTCGCCGACCTGCAATTTTTTTTCAAGTTTTCTTCTTTAAAGTTATCTCCCTTTGAAGTTGAACACAAAAGAAATTATTGTTTGTAGAAGCGGACCTTCTGATCTATCTCATTTGGTGAAAATAATATAGCCATAAACACGTCTAGTCCACTTATTTTTAATATATATATTCTATTCTTCCTCGACTTTTATCCCCCAATGGAGCATAGGCCCTCAACTAGCTCATGCGAAGTCATGCCCTCTCTATTTGTTTTTAATTTTTTAGTTTCCTTCTCCATGTTTTTTTTTTTTTTTTAATGACCCTGTGGATTCCACTTTGAAAGACATTCTTGTTATATTGTTCTCAGATTTCTTCAACATATGCCTGCTTCTCCTACTTCTTCTTCCTGCTTGTTTTTCTTCCTTCCTCCTTTCTTTTTTCACTTTCTTTATTCTTTCTTTCTTTCTTTCACCTTCTTCTTCTTCTTCTTTCTCGCATTCACAAGATATAAACGGTGGTGTAAAGTGCAGACTTAAGACTGATTCCAGAACCTGTGTGTTTGCGCACCTCTTGTTTTTAGACTGATTCCAGAACCTGGGTGTTTGTGCACCTCCTGTTTTTAGACTGATTCCAGAACCTGGGTGTTTGTGCACCTCCAGACTTAGATTCCAGAACCTAAGTGTTTGTGCACCGCCAGACTTTAGACTGATTCCAGAACCTGGGTGTTTGCGCACCTCCAGACTTTAGACTGATTCCAGATCCTGGGTGTTTGCTCACCTCCAAACTTTAGACTTATTCCAGAAGCTGGGTGTTTGTGCACCTCCAGACTTTAGACTTATTCCAGAACCTGGGTGTTTGCGCACCTCCAGATTTTAGACTGATTCCAGAACCTGGGTGTTTGCGCACTTCCAGACTTTTATTCCAGAACCTGGGTGTTGCGCACCTCCAGACTTTAGACTGATTCTAGAACCTGGTTGTTTGCGCACCTCCAAACTTTAGACTGATTCCAGAACCTGGGTGTTTGCGCACCTCCAAACTTTAGACTTATTCCAGAACCTGGGTGTTGCGCACCTCCAGACTTTGAATCCAGAACCTGGGTGTTTGCGCACCTCCTGTCTTTAGACTGATTTTAGAACCTGGGTGTTGCATGCACATCTTGTTCAAGATCTGGCTTATTTGTATGTAGACTACAGGTTGCTTGCCTCTCAGGCACAAGTTTTCCGACTTTGAAAGATGCGTCCAGTTAGTCGACTCTTACGACATGCTTGTTGGGGAAGCAGTGGGTCTATTCTTGTTGTTCCGCACAAAGGGACCCAGAAACCCACAGCTGGATATCTTATAGGCTTTACAGTATTGATTTTATCATAAGAGCTATTTCCCTCTGTTCTCTACAGGTGCCAGTTAATTTATTTCCTTACAATCTAAATAATAATCTGGTGCGCGTTATTTCCTAATTACCTAGTAGAAATTAAACATGCGAACTTTAGATTTGCTCACAGTTGCCGTCCTGGCTTCTGGTGTAAGAACTTTTTTTTTTTAAAATGGACTTTCCAAATACCGGTTTAATGGCCTTTGATAATTAACACCGTGCACCGAGGCACGCATTATTTTCTATGCCCAGTGATATTATTCTGACGTTCTGAATGTCCCATAAAGTTATAATGTCTTCTGTCCTGTAATTTTTACGTTTCCATTCATGTAATTATCTTTTCCATTTCCAATTACTGTCAGTGGATTATGAATGCCATTTTTTTTTTTTTCGACACCCGTTGCTCATTACCCTTTATTTTGAAAGATTTTGCCTTTTATAATTACTTTTTTTCCCCCACATTCTTTATCTTGTTATGTGATTGAACATTTTTTCTCTTGCTTTCTAATAATTGCACATATTTTATGTTCATGTTAAACTATGGTATTCTGGGGCATGAGTGAAGTAAAGGACTTTATCTTTAAATGCCTAAGAATTGGACAGTAGGCCACTCTGGAATTCTGCCCTTTCTAGCTCTCTCCTTTTGACTGACTGACTTTCTACCCGCACCAGGACATCACAGAAGCGATAAACACCCGATGACACCATGTGGGTGAGGATCACCGTGGAGAGGTCCCAGAAACCGCGTTCAGCCTTTAGGCCATATTTATGGCCAGGCTATATTGCAGCCCCTGGCAAAAGCCAGAATAGGGCTTCAAATAACGAAAAATTTCATCCTAAAAAGGACGAGAACTTAATCTCTCTCCTTTTGTAAATTATTTTCTTCACACATTAACTGTTCTAGATGAGATAGGGTTACGAATACCAGCATTAGAGAGAAAGTTGGGTGCTTTATTAATATCCTACCTAAAACAGGGGAAATCCACAGGTCACGGGACAGTCTAATGTTTCAGGGGGTGGTAGATAGGCTGCAATCGTAGAACCTAGGCTGAACTCTCTCATGGGACGTTGGTGGGTTGGGGTTAGGGCCAGTTCTAGATGCTTTGGGGTCGTTAAAAGCATCAGAAAGCCAGGAAACCCAGTCTCATCCGCTGAAATCTTGGACTGTCCTGTGACGTCATATGGAGAAGGATATTAATAAAGAACCGAAAGTTGGAATATGACCATGTCTGGATTTTATTGACCGACAATAAATGAAATAATTCAGCCATCTAGTGAGAATGCAGCCAGACCAAACTGCATATGAGACTTTACAGCAGAACATCTGGGAGGGGGACTAGAGGAAGACCAAAAGAGAGATGGATAAATGGTGTAGGTGAAACCTGCAAAAGGATGAAGAAATCCATCACTCAAGCCACCTGAGAAGCGCAAGACAAATAACAGAAAACCATGACACTGGGCTACACCCTGGTATCAGTGAGACAAAAGAAGAAGAGGATACATTAACTGTTATGTTAATGGTAAACGGCAACATTAATTTACATATTTTAAAGGCAAAGGTACGCAAGGGTGTGCAGTACCTGTACCTTGTTAGGTATCAGATGTTTTCAACCCTCCTGTAATAGACATTTGTAGTGACTATGGACACCTTTTTTCTTCTTGAAAAAAAAATGGGGATTAGGTTATTTCTATGCTAGTTCATGTGGCAGTCAACGGGTGAGGAGCAAATGCTGGCGATGGAGGAGACACACATTTAAAAAACTTGAGATGCATGTTATGACATTCCTTGAGAAAGTAGGTCACAGTATATCTGTTTTATTCAACGTCCCTATCCCCAAGTAGTGTTGAATGACTCGACTAAAGTCATTTCACAAACAGCAGAATTTCTTGGACAACTTAAATTAGCCAAAATATCAGTTGTAAAAGTATCGTTGTAAAAGTATCTAACTCAAACATCCGCTGTAAAAGTTGCTAACTGTCAAATATCAGCTGTAAAAGTAGCTCACTGCCAAACATCAGCTGTAAAAGTTGCTAACTCTCAAACATCAGCTGTAAAAGTGGCTCACTGCCAAACATCTGCTGTAAAAGTTGCTAACTCTCAAACATCAGCTGTAAAAGTTGCTAACTGTCAAACATCAGCTGTAAAAGTTGCTAACTATATTTCATTTGTTGACAATTCCAGGCAAGAGGGACGATATAAAATTATCTGATGAGGACAGGTTAATCAAGAGACTCCTGGCCAGGTACAGCCGACGAGGAACCTACAGCCGTCCCTTGAAAAACTTCAAGGACAAAATCACCATCAACTACAATATGCAGCTGATTCAGATCATGGGCCTGGATGAGAAGTCGCAGGTGCTCACGCTCAATGTGTGGGACAGATATGTGAGTAGTTATGCGGTTCATAGGATGGGACGACTGAATGAATGAATCAAGTACTGAGGTTAGTGCACTAGTTCCCAAAATTCCCAGACATGCTCTGTCTCCTCCCTGAGTAAGCAACAAAGAGTACCTGTGATTAACTCTTTGAGTCCCAGGGGGTTTTGCATCAGAGGCTCAAGGGGTAGTCAAGAGAGACGTACAATTGGCACACCTTGCGTTCATTGGGCTTCTAGAATGCAACCTATGAGCGTATGATGCGTTCCTTGGGACTCATAGAGTTAAATGTCCGCCTGTGTTGTCCTCTCAGTGTTGAGTATGGTCCGCATTCCCTGCTCACCCCCTGCTGCTGTATCAGTCTGTCAAGGTATGGATTCTCTGTTCTGTTTGCACCATCTATGTGATCCCACCACCACATCCATTATATCATAAAGTTTCTCTGTTCAGAGTAGTGGCATCAGCCAATCTGTCAGCCTGTTTATTACCTCAACCACCAGAATATCCTGGACACACAAAAATCCATGTGACTGGATGAGAAATCACAGTTGTCACACTTAATGTGTGTCGTCACACTTAATGTTTGAGTTGTCAAACTTAATGTGTGAGACAGTAAGTACTCATAAAGATTCATGAAGTATGAAGCTGGAGAAAATGGGCGAGGAGTCAGAGTACTAGAGGACAAAATCTGACCTATGTAGGGTTATGATCACATTGGACAGCGAGTGCAGAGAGTGATCAGCGAGTGCTATGAAGGTGGAAGTCCAACAGTTGATTCCTGACAATTCACGCCCAGGTGAACTGATTATCTATACAGATGGTTTTGTGTTGAGAGGAAAGAGAAGTTCCTGGGGGTTCGTAGTGAAAGCCAATGGAAAATCTTTATTGCAAGACAGTTTAGCATATGACATCACAACATCTAGCATAAGAATGGAGTTGGAGGCAGTATTTGCAGGTCTCCGGTGGCAGAGAACAAGATGCACACACATATCGTAATTTTAACAGACTCTGAAAGCATGCTGAGAAAGGTGAAGACAGGGATGTTTCGAGCAGTGCGGCTAGCATCACTGGAAAACTCACTGGTGGTAAACATACTTTGGATCTTTCCTCCAGGCAATGCCGGCATAGTGGGTAATGAACAGTCAGACAAATTGGCTGGATCTGCACTACTGGGTGGTGAATTGATACATGACAAGGCAGATGTGGTCAAGGCCCGTTAGGAACAAGCAACGAAATCAGTAGAGAAAGAAGATTATTATGGCCTGGAGAGAATGAGGCACCTGAGTGTCACCAGAGATTCTGGCCGGCTCACTACACTCAAAGGAAAGGCAAGATGGACATATAACCAGATTGTGACCGGTAACATCAGTATTGGAACTCTGCGCTGACTGCTGAAGATGAGGACAGAGCAGGCATGGGAATGCCCCAAGTGCTGTGATGTCAATTCTTGACTCAACTCAGCTCATGAAGATTCAATCGTTAGAATGTTCTGGCCATCTCCAGCAGTAATAGGATATAGGTATTGATGCTAGATCCGTTATATGCTCTAGTTGTGGTCTGGAAATAATGATGCAGATGAGATCTGTTTGTTCCCTTTGTAGTTCCACTGCTGTAATTCGGGAAGAAAAAAAAAGACTCTCACCCCACCCCACCCCCTCCCCCTCCCAACCTTACAAACCTGTTGTAAAAGGAGACTTATAGGGTATATCAAATGTGTTTTACTGAAAAGAAGGTATCACAGCCTTGCTGTTAACCACAACACAGCTTGCCAACCACCCTTTTAAGGGCAAGTGCAGAAGTAGACGAAGATCTGGTAGACAACCAGTGATCACATGAAAGACAAACATATAATCAGACTACAACTGTGACCATTAGTATTGGAGCTTTTGGCTGGCTGCTGAAATGAAACCAGAGCGTTTATGGGAATACACGTAGTGCTGTTACATAAGTTTTTAACTTTCACTGCACATATGAAAGTCATATGTTAATGAATAATATGTATTCTCTTTAAAATTTTACAATTACAATGATTTCGCATAACAGACATATTTTCTTCTATTTCTGTGTCTTGAATACAACCTTGTAAAGCTGTAACTTGTTGATGTTGTTGCTGTCAAATGTGGACCAATATGTTCATGAATACCACCTTGTAAAGCTGTAACTTGTTGATGTTGTTGCTGTCAGCTGTTGACCCATATGTACATGAATACCACCTTGTAAAGCTGTAACTTGTTGATGTTGTTGCTGTCAGATGTGCACCCATATGTACATGAATACAACCTTGTAAAGCTGTAACTTGTTGATGTTGTTGCTGTCAGATGTGGACCCATATGTACATGAATACCACCTTGTAAAGCTGTAACTTGTTGATGTTGTTGCTGTCAGAGGTGGACCCATATGTACATGAATACAACCTTGTAAAGCTGTAACTTGTTGATGTTGTTGCTGTCAGAGGTGGACCAATATGTACATAAATACAACCTTGTTAAGCTGTAAATTGTTGATGTTGTTGCTGTCAGAGGTGGACCAATATGTACATGAATACAACCTTGTAAAGCTGTAACTTGTTGATGTTGTTGCTGTCAGAGCTGGACCAATATGTACATGAATACAACCTTGTTAAGCTGTAAATTGTTGATGTTGTTGCTGTCAGAGGTGGACCAATATGTACATGAATACAACCTTGTTAAGCTGTAAATTGTTGATGTTGTTGCTGTCAGAGGTGGACCAATATGTACATGAATACAACCTTGTTAAGCTGTAACTTGTTGATGTTGTTGCTGTCAGAGGTGGACCAATATGTACATGAATACAACCTTGTTAAGCTGTAACTTGTTGATGTTGTTGCTGTCAGAGGTGGACCAATATGTACATGAATACAACCTTGTAAAGCTGTAACTTGTTGATGTTGTTGCTGTCAGAGGTGGACCAATATGTACATGAATACAACCTTGTTAAGCTGTAACTTGTTGATGTTGTTGCTGTCAGAGGTGGACCAATATGTACATGAATACAACCTTGTTAAGCTGTAACTTGTTGATGTTGTTGCTGTCAGAGGTGGACCAATATGTACATGAATACAACCTTGTAAAGCTGTAAATTGTTGATGTTGTTGCTGTCAGAGGTGGACCAATATGTACATGAATACAACCTTGTAAAGCTGTAACTTGTTGATGTTGTTGCTGTCAGAGGTGGACGGACATGTATATGACCTGGGACCCAGACATGTATGGTGGAGTGGAGACCATTCGCATTCCCTCAAGCAAGATCTGGATTCCTGATTTCAAACTGTACAACTAGTAAGAATTATTCAAACCTTTTCTCCACAATAAACTCTTTCTGTAACATGTTTATAAACTCTATGTATAACATGTTTATAAACTCCATGTTTTTTATGAACTTTTAACAGACATTTTTCCCCCAGAAAAAAATTTTGACAAACATACATTTGTGTGATACTTTCATGACCTAAAAAATAAAGTGTTTAAAAAGTTGAATCAAAAATGACAATTATATGATTCAAAGTTTAACTGAGAGTAACCAAACCCTAACAGATAACAGGTAAATATTTGTGTGTATACTAATGAATCAGGACTGAAATTAAATTAAACAAGGATAAATAAAAATGATTTCAGTTAAACAAATTCCAATAAACCTAATCTTCAAATTGTACCAATATACAACTTTCTAAAGCATTAGAGAACTCAGGTTAATTAACTTAATATCTTTGCACTCTTTTAAATGTCTTCTAAATTTTAACATTCATTTTCTTGCCATCTATATAAATGCTGGCATATCTGTATTACTATCACTCAGTGAAACGTAAGTATGCACTCAAAACATATCCATCTTCCCTGTAAATAAATTTTTGAGATATTTTCTTTTATTTCAAATCTTCCATTCATACTTTTTCATCAGCCCCCTAAATGTTTGTTTCACCAACATATAAAAAACCGCTCTTCCATGTTTTCATTTTGATTTACTTGTGATAACGTTTTTAACCCTCATGAATTTCATACGAACCTGGTACTTCTTTACCTCCATATGGGAAATGGTTTTTTTTTCTTTCTTTGTTGTTTTTTTTTTTTTTTTTTATTAACTTCACCCATTGTGTTTCAGTATTCTTTATCAATTATATTCCAGTCAGTTATTGTGGAACTGACTGATTAACCGACTTGCTGGATGATTGATTCACTAACTGATTAACCGACTTGCTGGATGATTGATTCACTGACTGACTGATTCACTAACTGACTGACTAACTTGTTGAATGTCAAATGACTATTTGATTTAATAATTTTATCACTGACTGTTTCGAGGCATGAAAATGAAGGGACGTCACTCTCTGCGACACAAAACATTACTTGAACCAACTGAACCAACAGTTATTATGTTTTAAGTGTTATTATTGTTTGGGCCTTACAGATGTGACAAAACTTTTTGTCTCATGCATTATATTTTTAGTAAAAGTGGTGCATATGAAAAATTATCCTAGACCCATATTTGTAAAGATTAGCACCCTGTGGGTGATATGGTCACCATCTTCCAGCTTCCTGTACTTCCTGGAACATTACTTGTTACCCAATTTAAGCTGAGTTGACCTTGAACCAAGGTCAGTTTTGGATAAATAAATTTGACCTGTTTAGCTCCGATGACTGTCCTGAGTGCTGTCATGACAGTTCTCACTAATCCCTGAGCCACTATGATCCACACAAAAAGTTAAATAAACTAGCTACGGTGATACCTAGGTATACGTTCGGTTTAGCATAAATTCAGCTTAGTATATATTCTATTTAGCAGCCAGCGAAGATTTCCGATACTAATGATGCCAGTAGCATTCTGATTAAATGTCCGTCTTGCCTTTACTCTAAGCCTCGAGCATCTGCCAGAACCTCTCGTCACTCGCCACTGCATCAATCTCACCAGACTGTGGTGATCAATCTGCTCCTCCGAACTGTACACGCTCTCCCACAAGGCACTAACCACGTCTGCCTTATCATGCATTAGTATTCCACCAAATTGTGCAGAGCCAGCCAGTCTGTCCGTCTGTTCATTTCCCAACACACCGGCTTTCCCGGTTAAAAAATCCAGACAATACTCCTCACCCGTGTCCTCCGCAGTGAAGCATGCCACTCTGCACGAAGCATACCTGTTCTGATCTTCCTCAGCATGCTTTCTGAGTCAGTCACAATCCTGATGTGTGGGTGTGTCTTGTTCTCTAGCCAGCGGAAAGCTGCAGTGACCGCCTCCACCTCCATTCTTAAGCTGGATGCTGTTGTATCATATGCTAGGCTCTCCTGCACCAAATGTCAACCATTAACTTGAGAAGCCCCAAGCACTTCTTTTGCCTCTTGACACTGAACTGTCTGTGTAAATGATCAAATCCTCTGAGCGAGCATTATCTTGAATTAATTGCTGAATTATCACCTCCGTGGCACCTGCTGACCAGTCTCTGCATCCTGAAGAGATATCAGAAGCAAAGTTCTTTTGACAGATTTTTAGTTAAAGTTTCATCCAAGGATCTGGAAGGGATTAAGGAGATACTGAGGTACCCATATCATTTTGTTTAACCTTTCAGAGGGACTCACTGGCCAAAATTTCTTCTAAACTTAAGAGATATTCAAAGATAATAGACTATCAGTAATGCTCTTTTGTACATTTTCATGCCAAATAACATATTTCTCTATTCTTACTAAGCAAATGTTTGTCCCCTTAGTGCTGATTTTAGACTTGCTGAAAGGAGAGATGCTTTGTGTGTGATCGACCGTAATGGCTCAGTGTTATGGATGCCACAAGCAATTTACAAGTAAGAAATTTTTTTTTGGTAGCAACATATTTCCTTGTTGGTGTTTGCCAGATGTTTTTGTTGAAGTATATCACAATTGTTACAACAACAACACCAACAATAAGAATATTATTGAATCTGCTAATATAATATTTATTAGGTTTACTAAACTAAGTTTGTGTACCTTTATGTTTTTGTTTCAATGAGGGGGCTGCGTAGTCTTGAGGCATGGTGTCCACCTTGAGTGCTAGAGATTCCTGCAGGCAGAATTTGGAGTTAAAAATCTACCCAACATTTTTTAGGATCCTCGCCGGTGCTACAGAACCGGTGCACTGTGCTGTGCTGTGCTGAGCTTCTTCAAACTCAGACTGGAGTTAGATGAAGAACTGAGCACTTATGGGTTACTACCCGTGTGCCATGATGTTGATCCGGTCTTCACACTTCAGACTTGTAAATCTGATATTCTGTTATGTTATTATTAATTACTTTTTTAATACTTCCAACATCCATAGCAGATACTATCCTTGAAGTGCCAAGTGTTGGTGCTTGACAGATTCTAGGCCGTAAAAAAATGAAATTTATAACCACTTTCCTTCCTCATTGCAGATGATTTAGTCAGTTTAAACAAATGGCAGGTCTAGAGTGTGAACATTGTGTAAACTCCCCCCATCACATACAAGAAAATACACAAATATAGATACTCTACCAGCTGTCAACGGTGTGATATTCCTGATTGAAAGCAGTGGTGGTATGGCAGCAAAGTGGTGCTACCTACAGGCCCAAAGGTTTTGCATTCAAATCTGCATCTAGCTATATTTTTTTTTTTAAATGACCTCGGCTCCCAGACTGACCTAGGCTAACACTAACATTTGCAACAGAAGTCAAGGTGGCTTTTTCCGGCCGCTTACAGAACGGCAACCAAGCAGCAACAGGGCATCAGCACAGCGACCAGCACAAGGCAAGCCATACACCAGCAACAGTCAGCTAGTACCCGTAGATACCATCACAAAGAGATCTGGACCACACCAGACCCAAAGAACACAAGCAGCACAGCAAGGAAACAAAGAACCGTAATATCAGGTGTGACTACACACCACAAATAAAAGGAAACCATATAAGACAGCTAAGGAACCTTCTTCGATATAGCAAGCCTCCGGGCGGCTGATAAAGGATCAAATTTGGAATTTTTGTTGGACGAATTGGAATTGGAATTGGTGGCTGGAGGAGTGTTGACCACATCAGCTATCGAATGCCAGCTTGTCTTATAAACATGAGTCTGGCATCACATGCTTGATGCCGCCTGGCAAGAGAAGGATCTTTCACTTACTTACTTAATACTCTTAATCACCATCATCTTCAATATTCTGGCCACCTCAAGTAAACTCAGAATTGCCATACTTGACACAAATATTGTGCATCTAGATTATAAATCGTTAAATGTTTCCTTCGTCTGCAGAAGTTCCTGTGAAATTAACGTCAGAACATTCCCATTTGACATACAAACATGTAAACTAAAGTTTGGCACATGGACGCATGCAGGTGACCTGGTCAACCTCATGATTCTCATCAACGAAACAGGCTTTGAAAACGGTTCCATTGATATGGCTGAATACGTCAACAGCAACTCATGGGAAATTCTTTGGGTATGATACATTTTGTACATGTGTTTATTTGATCAAATGTTTCATGTTTTTGTTTCATGTTTTGTATGCATATGATACAATTTGTACATTTTTTAATATGTATTATACAATTTCTACATTTTTTACATCTAGTCAGGGCCATACTTTGGCATCTGGGACACAGGACAGCTAAATCGGGAAGGAGGGGGGGGGGGGGGTAAAAGATGGCAGAATTTAGTAGCTAGCAGTAAAAAGATTGGACTAAATTAGAGGTTTCTGTTATTTTTGTATTAATGTATTTTGTGTTGGTTAAATATTGACTATTAAATTATAATTATTTTCTCTGGGTTTACAATATATGTCTGTAAGAATAACTTTAAAAAATCAGCTTGCACATTGGTTAAAAAAAAAACTTCACACAGTTTAAAATTGAAGTAAATGATTCCACAGTTTTTTTCAGTTTTTTTTTTTATGATAGTCTGCAAAGGAATAGCAGTGCTGAATTTTAGTTGAGGGAAAGGAGGCATGAAATAAAGGACTGTACAGGGAGAGGAGAGAGGGTGGCCATACATCCTAAATATGCTCCTGCATATGAAAGAATTTGAACATGTTGTTTCTTTGTATTTGTGATGTCTTCCTTTAAAAAGTAGGAGAATTAGAAGAAGATTTCTCGTGTCCTTGTAGCTACTTCTTTCATAATTTGGACATGAGATCTACTTTAGATGATTGTTGGAAAGAAGAGTTTAACAAATGTTGCTAAACAGTTTCTAAAGAATTTTTTTAATCAGTATATGAGTCCCTTCCTGGCATTGGTAAAGTTATACTGGCTGTTTTATTTGTCTTAAAGTTATACTGGTTGTTTTAATTGTCTTAAAGTTATATTGGCTGTTTTAATTGTCTTAAAATTATACTGGCTGTTTTAATTTGATTAAAGTTATACTGGCTGTTTTAATTGTCTTAAAGTTATATTGGCTGTTTTAATTGTCTTAAAATTATACTGGCTGTTTTAATTGTCTTAAAGTTATACTGGTTGTTTTAATTGTCTTAAAGTTATATTGGCTGTTTTAATTGTCTTAAAATTATACTGGCTGTTTTAATTGTCTTAAAGTTATAATGGCTGTTTTAATTGTCTTAAAGTTATACTGGCTGTTTTAATTGTCTTAAAATTATACTGGCTGTTTTAATTGGATTAAAGTTATACTGGCTGTTTTAATTGGATTAAAGTTATACTGGCTGTTTTAATTGAAGTTTTACTGGCTGTTTTAATAGTCTTAAAATTATACTGGCTGTTTTAATTGCCTTAAAGTTATACTGGCTGTTTTAAATGCCTTATTTGTTTAACTTAAAAGACTTATTTTGAGAGCTAAGGGAGAAAATTAAACAAAATCTGATGAATCAAGAGATGAGGAAAAGATGCTGTTACTGTTTAGGACAGACTGAGAGAACCTGATAATAGTATGTGATAATAGTATGAATGGAATGTAATTGACTGGAAACAGCCAAGCCAGAGATGCCAGATACACATGGATGAGAGAATTCTAGATGAGGAAGACATGGAATGAACTGTAGAAGGTGGTGAAGGGTATGGTAGTCTGGAGAGAGTTCAAACCCCAAAAGAAGAAGAGGAATAAGATGGCTTTTTTCCCTCCTTCTCTGCATCATCCTTCTTCCTGTAAGTGAAACCTCTATCCCTAACTCTGTACCAAAGTGTTACCTCCAGAATGGCTGTTTTCTTCTTTTGTAATGAAATAAACGCATGACTTCATGAAGTCATTGTTTCTTTGGTAATTAATGTCAGCCGTGACTGAAACGGTCTAAAATCAAATAGTTTTGAAGGATGACATGTTATACAGCATGTCTGTTGAATGGTCCCAGTTCAGTCCTCAGCTGAGCCAGGAATACTTGACAAACACTAGGGTCATCGGAAAGGTACCAAGAATAAAAAACAACTCTTCACATTCAGAAAGCAGTAATTGCTATTAGACCACCTCTACGTGTAAGTGAAGAAATAATATAAGACCTCACAAAATGGTTGTGGAGGCCAGTGTCCAAGCAGGTATTGTGTAAACATTTATTAGTTGCGTATCCTTTACAGGATGTTGCAGAACCAACACCAGCACTTTCTAGAAGTTGTGGTTTTTCTAGGCAAATTTACATCCAGTAGTTTGCCATTGCTTTCTGTACGATCGGCTCTCGGTACCACTATCAAAACCATCGCAAGACAAACCGTCTGCAGCAGGGATCGAACCCAGAACCCTGGCATTACGAAGTGCATTCGCAACGTTTAAACCACAGACGTCAACTGTGTAAACATACACTTGTTATATTTAAATTACATAAATACTTTCTTCTTGCCACCCAAACTCTGTTTGACACATGTATTGTTTGGTCCTTCTATCCAGACTCCAGCAGTCAGAAATGAGGTCAACTATACTTGCTGTCCTGGAGTTCCGTACATCGACCTCTCCTTCACCATCATGATCCAGAGGAGGTCTGCCTTCTACAGCTATATTCTGGTCCTGCCTTGTATCTTACTCACTTCACTCACGCTGGTCTTGTTTTGGATACCCCCGGAATCCCCAGCAAAACTCATGTTAGGTATGTGACCTGGTTTGTTTACTTTTAACACATTCTTTTTTATGTTAAGAACATGATCTGGTCTGTGTCATTTTGTTTGCTTCTAAAATACTCTCTTATGTCAGTGCAGTGTTCCTCTTTGGGTTGGGTCAACTCTTGCTGCTCTAACGTTCTCCCCACTCTAACACTCTCCCAACTCTAACACTCTCCCCACTCTAACACTCTCCCCTCTCTAACACTCTCTCCACTCTAACACTCTCCCCTTCATTGTCTCAGATACATTGCATTCTCCAGGAAGTCACCGTGTCTTGCATGCACAGAACTGTACACACTGAAGACCATGACTAACGAGTGTAAACACTGTTGAATTATGTGCAAACATTTATTTAGTATTTCAGAAAAGGTACCAGTCTCTGTCTGCAGTCTGGGTACTGTTGAGCTGCTTGCACAATTCACCAATCAAATCCCTGGTCAGTCTTTCATAATTTCCTCTTGTACACATTACTGGATGGAGTTGATCATTTCTCTGACTTGGTGTTAGCAGTCGCTGACCGATGTACTGGCCATTCCCAGTTACACAGTTTCTCTAACCTAACACATCTATTATCAAGACAATCAATTACACACTCACACAGTCTCATTTTACCTATACTTGACCAAATACTATAACTCATGGAAATGAGGGGTTCTCTGTGATGTCAACTCATTTCTAGCAGAGTTACCTAATCAGCATTATTACAGTTGAGTATGTGATCTAGTTTGTTTGTGTTGTTTGGTTTGGTTTCAAAATATACTCTTATGTCAGGTGCATGGACTGGTTTGTTTTGCAAATATTTTCTGGTTTGTTTTCACATTTTGTTTACTTTAAACAGATCTACTCTCTGAATCACCACCATCATCATGCATGTAAATGATGCACAAGAGCCAATAGATCACTGTGCTCTAGGAAGAATGATGTTGTATGGTGATGGCGGTGACACAAGCTTTCATGTGGCTAGAATTCCAGGACTGCTGCTATATACTGAGTGATTCTATGAACATTGTCCCCCAGGTCGAAACAGGCTGCATACGCAGACAGTGGATTGAGTCAGTGCAAAACTCTCTTGTGTGTGCAGTTACCTTTATATTTGTCCCAGGGTATGATAGACTGGCAGGTTCTGCATTAATTGCAGATGGCCGACCTATGGATCACACAGATATTGTCAGTGCTTTTAGAGAGATAGGACATTCTGAGGATTTTGCAAGCTACGCATCCGTCTCACTGCTAAGAATATGAGAAATGGGAGGTAAGATAGGCATAGCCAAGCATGAAAGGCACACCAGACATACAGTAAGTCTTGTAAACCAGTATAAGACTAGCACTATTAACTGTGCGATGCTGATGAATATGTTGAAGGGGGAATCTGAGCACCTATGGATGTGTCCGGAGTGCTGTAAAGGGATAACCCAGCTCATAGCTGAAATGGGAGTCTCTAGAGAATCTGGTAGACCCAGAAAGCAATTGCAAAATGAATGTACAGAGATTTCAGAACCATTCGTACTGGAACTTATAGGCTGGTTGCTGAAGATGGGGATGGTGTGTTTATGGAAGTATCTGGAGGGTTGTGTTCCAGCTCTCAAATGCCAGGCTTTCAGTTTAGGAGATCCATGTCTGAGCCTGTGTTGGACATTTGTGTTCTGCTGAGGACACAAATTTGAATCCTGAACTGTACAGTTGGTGGTGGGTTGCCTTAGTCATGTGACCCTATTTGTTTTTCCTGAGAACCCTCTCCCCTGTTCACCATAGCCCTAAATGAAAGGGGGTGCACTCAGATAGTATTGTTGTATACAGCAGCTTTGATATTGTTGTTTACAGCAGCTGTTCCTGTATTGTTGTATACGGTAGCTGTTCCTGTATTGTTGTATATGGCAGCGGTTCCTGTATTGTTGTATACAGCAGTTGTTCCTGTATTGTTGTGTACAGCTGTTCCTATATTCTTGTTTACGGCAGTTTTTCCTATATTGTTTTGTACAGCAGCTGTTCCTGTATTGTTGTATACGGTAGCTGTTTCTGTATTGTTGTACAACAGCTGTTCCTGTAAAAATCTCCAAGGATCTGAGATGACACATTCATGAAATCCCCGTGTGGGTTCCTGGGCACAGACCCACTGCCTCCCCAACAAGCATGTCGTAGGAGTTGACTAAATGGGGGCTTCCTTCAAAGTTGGAATGATCTACCCGAGACGCAAGGAACCAACAATCTACCTACAAATAAGTGGGATCTGTAAAATAGATGTGCACACAACACTGAGGTTCTGGCCCAAGACCAAAGTCTGAAAGTGGATGAACAACTAGAAATGTATCCAGGAGTTTATAGCCAGTGACCATGAATAAAAAGAAGATGGCCGACTGGTACAGTCTATAAAATACCTTCAGAGTTTGTTTTCACATAATCATGTTATAGTTTTTGTCTTCACATAATCATGTTATAGTTTTTGTCTTCACATAATCATGTTATAGTTTTTGTCTTCACATAATCTTGAGAGCTTGACAGAGCTTGACTTTCTTTCAAAAATAACCTTAGTTTTCAAGTTGACTCGGCCTTAAAGGCTTAAATGGGTAATAGGTAAGTCCTGGGAAGTAAAGGTGGCCGGCTTGATGTTAACCATAACACCCACCAAGTGCCAGCTGCCTATAAAATGTAGGTCAAGAAATATATCTCCAGTCCACTTGGAGGCATGGAACAGGATCCTTTGCTTGACTTTACGTAATCTTGTTACATAATACTGCTTGAATATATATCCTTAAAACAACCTTTTTTCTTCCTCTTTTTCAGGTATCAATATTTTTGTGGCATTTTTCCTGTTATTATTATTGATGGAAGGTAACCTCCCGCCATCAGCTGCCGAAGTGCCTCTCTTAGGTGAGTATCATTGCTGCGCACATCAAGCATAATCTTAGAATAAATAACCTCAAACATTCACATAAACATAATCTCACATTAAATAACCTATAAACACTGACATAAACATAATCTCACATTAAATAACCTATAAACACTGACATAAACATAATCTCACATCAAATAACCTATAAACACTGAAATAAACATAATCTCACATTAAATAACCTATAAACACTGACATAAACATAATCTCACATCAAATAACCTATAAACACTGAAAAAAACATAATCTCACGTTTTATAACCTGTAAACATAATCTCACATTAATTAACCAAATAAACATAATCTCACGTTAAATAACCTATAAACATAATCTCACATTAAATAACCAAATAAACATAATCTCACATTAAATAACCTATAAACACTGAAATAAACATAATCTCACATTAAATAACCTATAAACATAATCTCACATTAAATAACCTATAAACACTGAACATAATCTCACATAAATAACACATAAACATAATCTCACATTAAATAACCTATAAACACTGAAATAAACATAATCTCACATTAAATAACCTATAAACATAATCTCACATTAAATAACCTATAAACACTGACATAAACATAATCTCACATTAAATAACCTATAAACACTGACATAAACATAATCTCACATCAAATAACCTATAAACACTGACATAAACATAATCTCACATCAAATAACCTATATAAACAAATACATCAAATAACCTATAAACACTGACATAAACATAATCTCACATCAAATAACCTATAAACACTGACATAAACATAATCTCACATCAAATAACCTATAAACACTGACATAAACATAATCTCACATCAAATAACCTATAAACACTGACATAAACATAATCTCACATCAAATAACCTATAAACACTGACATAAACATAATCTCACATCAAATAACCTATAAACACTGACATAAACATAATCTCACATCAAATAACCTATAAACACTGACATAAACATAATCTCACATCAAATAACCTATAAACACTGACATAAACATAATCTCACAAATAACCTATAACCTATAAACACTTTTATAACCTGTAAACATAATCTCACATCAAATAACCTATAAACACTAATCTCACATTATCATATAACAAATAAACATAATCTCACATAAATAACCAAATAACCATAATCTAAAATAACCTATAAACAATCTCACATTAAATAACCAAATAAACATAATCTCACGTTAAATCAAAACATAACCTATAAACACTGAAATAACCTATAAACACTGAAAAAAAACATAATCTCACATCAAATGTAAACCTATAAATAACCACTGACATAAACAAATAATCTCACATCAAATAACCTATAAACACTGAAATAAACATAAACATAAATCCTATAAACACATCAAATCTACACCTATAAACACTGACATAAACATAATCTCACATCAAATAACCTATAAACATAGTCTCACATTAAATAATCAAATAAACATAATCTCACGTTAAATAACCTATAAACATAATCTCACATTAAATAACCAAATAAACATAATCTCACGTTAAATAAACCTATAAACACTGAAAAAAACATAATCTCACATCAAATAACCTATAAACACTGACATAAACCATAAAACATAATCTCACATTAAAAACATAATCTCACATAAATAACCTATAAACACTGAAAAAAACATAATCTCACATCAAATAACCTATAAACACTGACATAAACATAATCTCACATCAAATAACCTATAAACACTGACATAAACATAATCTCACATCAAATAACCTATAAACACTGACATAAACATAATCTCACATCAAATAACCTATAAACACTGACATAAACATAATCTCACATCAAATAACCTATAAACACTGACATAAACATAATCTCACATCAAATAACCTATAAACACTGACATAAACATAATCTCACATCAAATCTCAAAATAACTATAAACACTGACATAAACATAATCTCACATCTGACCTATAAACATACATAAACTCACATCAAATAACCTATAAACACTGACATAAACATAATCTCACATCAAATAACCTATAAACACTGAAAAAAATAATCACATCAATAACTCACTGACATAAACATATCTCACATCAAATAACCTATAAACTGACATAAACATATCTCACATCAAATAACCAAATAAAAACATAATCTCACATTAAATAACCTATAAACATAAAAAACATAATCTCACATTTTATAACCTAAACATAACCATTAAATAACCAAATAAACATAATCTCACGTTAAATAACCTATAAACATAATCTCACATTAAATAACCAAATAAACATAATCTCACGTTAAATAACCTATAAACACTGAAAAAAAAATAAACATAATCTCACGTTTTCACGTTTTATAACCTGTAAACATAATCTCACATTAAATAACCAAATAAACATAATCTCACATTAAATAACCAAATAAACATAATCTCACATTAAATAACCTATAAACACTGAAATAAACATAATCTCACATTAAATAACCTATAAACACTGAAATAAACATAATCTCACATTAAATAACCTATAAACACTGACATAAACATAATCTCACATCAAATAACCTATAAACATAGTCTCACATTAAATAATCAAATAAACATAATCTCACGTTAAATAACCTATAAACATAATCTCACATTAAATAACCAAATAAACATAATCTCACGTTAAATAACCTATAAACACTGAAAAAAACATAATCTCACGTTTTATAACCTGTAAACATAATCTTACATTAAATAACCAAATAAACATAATCTCACATTAAATAACCAAATAAACATAATCTCACATCAAATAACCTATAAACACTGAAATAAACATAATCTCACATCAAATAACCTATAAACACTGACATAAACATAATCTCACATCAAATAACCTATAAACACTGACATAAACATAATCTCACATCAAATAACCTATAAACACTGACATAAACATAATCTCACATCAAATAACCTATAAACACTGACATAAACATAATCTCACATCAAATAACCTATAAACACTGACATAAACATAATCTCACATCAAATAACCTATAAACACTGACATAAACATAATCTCACATCAAATAACCTATAAACACTGACATAAACATAATCTCACATCAAATAACCTATAAACACTGACATAAACATAATCTCACATCAAATAACCTATAAACACTGACATAAACATAATCTCACATCAAATAACCTATAAACACTGACATAAACATAATCTCACATCAAATAACCTATAAACACTGAAAAAAACATAATCTCACGTTTTATAACCTGTAAACATAATCTCACATTAAATAACCAAATAAACATAATCTCACGTTAAATAACCTATAAACATAATCTCACATTAAATAACCAAATAAACATAATCTTACGTTAAATAACCTATAAACATAATCTCACATTAAATAACCAAATAAACATAATCTCACGTTAAATAACCTATAAACACTGAAAAAAACATAATCTCATGTTTTATAACCTGTAAACATAGTCTCACATTAAATAACCAAATAAACAAAATCTCACATTAAATAATCTATAAACAAAATCTCACCATAAATAATCTATTTTCACTGACATAAACATAATCTCACATTAAATAATCTATAAACACTGACATAAACATAATCTCACATTAAATAACCTATAAACACTGACTTAAACATAATCTCACCATAAATAATCTATAAACACTGACATAAACATAATACTTGTAATAAAATCTATATTCTAGATATATTCTGTCATGTTTTAATAAGACTGAATATGTCGAATTCTCCACTACAAACATAAACATTTCATTCATTGATAGTTATCATGTGCAAGATAAGGGAAAATTGCCACACTGAATTTAGAAAGGTTTAACCTATAAACACTGACATAAACATAATCTCACATCAAATAACCTATAAACACTGACATAAACATAATCTCACATCAAATAACTTATAAACACTGACATAAACATAATCTCACATCAAATAACCTATAAACACTGACATAAACATAATCTCACATCAAATAACCTATAAACACTGACATAAACATAATCTCACATCAAATAACCTATAAACACTGAAAAAAACATAATCTCACGTTTTATAACCTGTAAACATAATCTCACATTAAATAACCAAATAAACATAATCTCACGTTAAATAACCTATAAACATAATCTCACATTAAATAACCAAATAAACATAATCTCACGTTAAATAACCAAATAAACATAATCTCATGTTAAATAACCTATAAACACTGAAAAAAACATAATCTCACGTTTTATAACCTGTAAACATAATCTCACATTAAATAACCAAATAAACATAATCTCACATTAAATAACCAAATAAACATAATCTCACATTAAATAACCTATAAACACTGAAATAAACATAATCTCACATTAAATAACCTATAAACATAATCTCACATTAAATAACCTATAAACAAAATCTCACATTAAATAATCTATAAACATAATCTCACCATAAATAATCTATTTTCACTGACATAAACATAATCTCACATTAAATAATCTATAAACATTGACATAAACATAATCTCACATTAAATAACCTATAAACACTGACATAAACATAATCTCACCATAAATAATCTATAAACACTGACATAAACATAATACTTGTAATAAAATCTATATTCTAGATATATTCTGTCAAGGTTTTAATAAGACTAAATATGTCGAATTCTCCACTACATACATAAACATTTCATTCATTGATAGTTATCATGTGCAAGATAAGGGAAAATTGCCACACTGATTTTAGAAAGGTTTAGCTTTGTTAAGTCTAATTAGCTGGATTTATGGTAAGGCAGATGTCCAAACACTTCTATGTCTCTGGACTGAATAATATAACAAGATATATCTTTACTATTAACAACCTTTTCCACCAGTTTTA